GATGTTGATGCTGATGCTGATGCTGACGATGCTGATGATGCTGATGATGCTGCTGATGCTGCTGATGCCGCGGCTGATGACGATGATTCTGATGCTGATGCTGCTGATGATGATAGTGCTGCTGCTGCTGATGATGATGATGATGATGATGATGATGATGATGATGATAATGATGATGCTGATTCTGCTGATGATGGCGACGATGATGCTGATGATGGCGCTGATGATGATGCTCATGATGATGATACTGATGCTGATGATGCCGCTGACGATGATGCTGATACTGCTGCTGCTGATGATGATGACGATGATGATGATGATGACGATGATGATGATGAGGATGAGGATGAGGATGAGGATGAGGATGAGGATGAGGATGATGATGATGATGATGGTGATGGTGATGCTGCTGCTGATGATGATGATGATGATGATGATGATGATGATGATGATGATGATGATGATGATGATGAGGAGGAGAGGAGGAGGAGGAGGAGGAGGAGGAGGAGGTGAGGAGGAGGGAGGTGGAGGAGGAGGAGGAGGAGGAGGATTTGAGGATGACGGGGAGGAGGAGGCGGAGGAGGAGGAGAAGGAGGATGATACTTTGGAGGATTCGGGGGAGGAGGGAGGAGGGAAGAGGGTTGAGGAGGAGGAGGGAGGAGGGAGGAGGGGAATGAGAGGGATCAGGAGGGGGAGGGAGGAGGGGAGGGAGGAGAGGGAGGAGGGACGAGGAAGGCGGGATCAGGGAGGAGGGGGGAGAGAGGAGGGAAGCGGGAGGAGGGAAGAGGGAGGAGGGAGGCGGGAGCAGGGAGGAGGGAGGAGGGAGGCGGGAGGAGGGAGGAGGGAGGAGGGAGGAAGGAGGGGGGAGGGATGGAGAGATGGAGGGAGGGAGGGAGGGAGGAGGGGGGGACGGAGGGAGGGAGGGACGGCGGGAGGGAGGAGGAGGAGGAGGAGGAGGAGGAGGAGGAGGAGGAGAAGACGAGGAGGAGGAGGAGGAGGAGGAGGAGGACCCGTGTAAACCAAAGAGTCATGAACGATGTTGGAATAAAGTCTCCCTCCAAGCTGCTTCTTCATAGGCCCCTACAGCGTTTCATTTCCATTGAGGGGACTGCCTCGTTGGACGACAACCGTTGGAAGATCCGGAAGCATGGCAACACATTGTTCTGGGTTTTTCGACGTCACGGATAAACCTGACTGCTGCGTTTTGACGATCATGAATCTTGCCAGAACGCCATTTTTGGGACCCCAACACCGCGAACCAACATCACTGTTGCACCCGCGTAATCTTGAATTTTCCAAAACACAATGTCTGGTACGTTGATCATGGGAACCCGTGGAACTCTTCCAAAGTTAATGAACGAATGTGCGCGGCGCTGAAACGAGAACCACGTTTTGAAAAGGAGCCGCCCTCAACCCGTGAAATTCTTGCACAGTTTGTAGACAAATGTGCGCGGCGCTAAGGCGACAGCCACATTGTGAAAACGGCCCGCCCTCAAATCGTGTAGCCCTTGCAAGCTTTTGATACGAGTGTGCGCGGAGCTAAGGCGCGAGCCACATTTGGAAGTCCACCTGCCCTCAATCCGTGAAGCCTTTGCAAATGTTTAAATCGAATATGCGCGGCGATATGGCGAGAGCCACATTTTGAAAACGACCCGCCCGCAATCCGTTAAGCTCTTGCAGTGTTTTAAGACGGATGTGCGCAGCGCTAACGCGAGAGCCATTTTTTTACAACCACCCGCCCTCCATGTGTGAGCCTGTTGCAACTTTTTTTCAAGCTTCAGAGTCTTAAATGGTGAGGAACTCTCAGGCGAAACGCCGGGCCCGCCTTAACAATTTGCCTCAGGGTGCGACAGGAAGGAGTTATTTGCAAGGAAAACGGATGGAGGAGGAGGAAGAGGAGGATGAGGAGGAGGAAGGAACAGTAGGAGAAGGAGGAACAGGAGGAGGACGACGATGAGGAGGAGGAGGAGAAGGAGGAGGAGGAGGAGGAGGAGGAAATTCCTAGTTTGGAGACAACCGTTTGAAGATCCTGAAACGTGGCAAAACACCATTCTCGGAACGTCAACGCCACCAATCAAACTGACTGTTGCGTCTTGACGATCCTGAATCGCACCATAATGCCTGTCCTGGGATTCCAACAACGCGACTCAACGTAGCATTTGCGCTCTAACGATTGCGAACCGCTCCAACACACCATTTTTGGTACGTTAACCATGGGAGCCAGTGAAACTCCTGTAACTTGTTAAGACGAGTGTGCGCGGCGATAAATCCCCCCCAAACCACATTTTGCAAAGGGACCGCAATCAACGCGTGAAACTCTTGAATCATGTTAAGACGAGTGCACGCGGCGCTAAAGCGAGAGCCACATTTTGAAAACGACCCGCCCTCAACGCGTGAAACTCTTGCGATGTTTTGAAACGAATGTGCGCGGCCATGGGGCGAGAGCCACATTTTGGACACCACCCGCCCTCCATTTTTACAAATGTTCCCAAGTTTCAAACTTCAAGGTCCTGAATGGTGAAGAAGTCTCATGCGAAACGCCCGGCCCGCCTTTCCGACTGGCCCCGGGGTGCGACAGGAGGATCTATCTATGAGGACAAGGAATAATGGAGGAGAAGGAGGAGGAGGAGGAGGAGGAGGAGGAGGAGGAGGAGGAACAGGAACAGGATGAGGAGGAGGAGGAGGAGGAGGAGGAGGAGGAGGAGGAGAAGGACAAGGAATGGAGGAGGAGTAGGAGGAGGAGGAGGAGGAGGAGGAAGAGGAGGAGGAGGAGGAGGTGGAGGAGGAGGAGGAGGAGGAGGAGAGAGAAGGAGGCTAGCGTCAGCACGGGGGCTAGCTGGCGGCGGCGCTGGAGAGGGCCAGGGCAGGGCGGGCGCCCAGGATCCGCGGCGACTCGGGCAAGGTCGTCGAGGAGGTGGAGGCCCCGCCCGCGCAGGGGCCCCTCTGCTCACTCGCAGGAGGTTTGGCTTAGCGTGTCGCTCCGCCGGTTCTGGCCCACCGCGCCCCGGCCAGTCCCCGAGCGTCAACGTCCCGAGCCTTTCCGAGCCTCCCGCCCCGCGGAGCGGAGCGACACGCTACAGTAGGTTCGGGTCGCGTCGACCAGCGGCGACCCCGCCGCGGGCGTTCAACGTTGAGCACCGCCGGCGACCCAACATCGGTCGATGTTGAACGATTTGACGCTTTGGAATCAGCCAATCGTTCAAGGTTGAACGATCCCCGCGGTGTCAGGAACCAACGCCAGGGTCGTCACGACAAGCACCCGCCGAACCCAGTCGCAAGGCACAGCGTGTCGCCTGGGCCGCCGCCGCGGCATGCTGAGCAACAGTTTCTGGCCGGAAGGGTAGCCATGAAGGAAGCGGGTCCTGCGGGAAACGGGTCCTGAAGTTTTTCGCCGTGTTCGGGCGCTCGGGGCCCTCCACGGGCGCGGGGCTGTCAAAAACGATTCAGGATGAAAAGCTGGTCCTGGGGAAAGTCCCTGGTATCCAGGACCCGTTTCCCTCAGGACCCGCTTTATTCATGCCTAAAGGGGAGCAGCAGATACCGATCCTGCTGCTCGTCCTGCAGCGCCCTCGTCACCACGGCTCGATTCTCTTTGGAATTCTGGTCAGAACGCGCCCTTGGAGGTCCGGTTCGTAGGTCGAGCAAGACGCAATTGCATGAACACAACTTTTTGGAGCTCGGCGCAGCTTTGCGGAGCCAGCACAGCGCCGATCCCAGAATTTCGCGAAGACCTCCACAAATTAATGTTGATGCATTTTTTCTTGCATCGAAGGGGGGTTCGTAGATGGGAGGGTTATCCCAATGTGGGGGGCTGGAGAACGTACCCAGCTGGACGCTCACGGTCCTTCTTCCAGGGGCAGCTGGGAGCCAATTTACTCTCACCCCACCGCTCCTGCTTCACTTTTACGTCCCCCGACTCTCCCCACTCGAAGAACAAAGCGGCATAATCGTATACTTTCAGGCGTATTTTCGCAGGGGCGTGGGGATGACAATTGGGCACGCGGTGGCCCTTCTGACTACTCGAGTTTCCTTTCCGCTTCTCCCCCTCCTGTTCCTCCTTCTCCTCCTCCCCTTATCCATTCCTTCTTATAGATAACTCCTCCCTGTCGCACCCCGAGGCCAGTTTTTAGGGCGGGCCGGGCGTTTCGCCTGAGATTTTCGCACCATTTATGATTCTGAAGCTTCAAAAGTGGCAGCAGTTTCACAGATGGAGGGCGCGTGGTTTTCAAAATGTGGCTCTCGCCTTAGCGCCGCGTACATTCGTTTTATACATTTTCAAGAATTCCTCGGATTGAGGGCGGGTGGTTTTCAAAATGTGGCTCTCGCATTGGCGCCGCACGCATTCGTTGTAAACATTTGCAAGAGTTGTACGGTTTGAGGGCGGGTCGTTTTCAAAATGTGGCCCTCGTCTTAGCGCCGCTCACATTCGTTTTAAACACTTGCAATAGTTTCACGGATTCCCAGGATCAACGTACCAAAAATGGTGCTTTGGAAGGGTTCAGGATTACGCGGGCGCAACAGTTATGCTGATTCGCTGTGTTGAAGTCCCAGGAATAGCGTTCTGGTACGATTGTGGATTGTCAAGACGCAGCAGTCCCGTTGATACGTGGCATTGAAATCCCGAGAACAATGTTTTGGCACGCTTCATGATTTTCAAACTGTTGCCTTCCCACGAGGCAGTTCCCTCAATGGCAATAAGCCGTTGTAGGGGCCTGTGAAGAGGAAGCTTGGAAGGATGGTTAATTCCAACATCGTTGATGACTCTTGGGTTTCTACTGGTCCTCCTCCTCCTCCTCCTCCTCCTCCTCCTACTCCCCTCCGTAGCCATTTTGGCTCAAGATGCCTGGTTCCCTTGGGGCCAAAACGGATACCGCTAGTCCGCGGTTAGACCTCGAGTTTCTTCGCCTTTACTGCAGGAGTTGGGCACCTGCACCAGTCTCATCCTTTCTCACGGAGGTCCCTCGGTCGAGGGGTTCACTTGCCTCCATTCACGGTCATTCATGGCCCAAGATTGCTGGCACAGCGGTGGTGGGAAGCCTCGGCAGCAAAACCACGACCCGTGCCCGCACTGCAGGTACCGCTGGAACTTCAAGAACAACCACTGGTGCTACCAGTGCACGGGGGCTCTGGTATCGCAGCCTGATGGTTCGAAGCGGCCACTTGGGCAGTGGGCTTTTGGGCCGCCGCAGATCTCGAACTCGCCGTTCCACGTTCAGCCTGCCGGGTCTCCCTTCGCCGACCCGACGCCGTCGCAGGCTGCAGCGGCAGCCGCCACGGGCTCAGGCAAAGGGCGTGGCAAGAAGGGCGCTCCTCCGCCACCGCGGGGGAAGGCCAAGGCGAAAGCCGCCGCCTCCGCGGGCCATGTCGACAGGCGTCCGTGGGTATACCACCAGGGCTGGTACCCGTACGGTGGCGCATCAGTTCCACTCGAGCCAGACGATCCGATGGCGGCCCTGCGGGCCAAGCTTGGCGACGACGGCACCGAGGCGCTGGCAGCAGTGGAGGCGCTCCTCGCCAAGAAGGAAGCCCCGCCTCCTGCTGCACCGCGGCAGCCGCTCCTTGAGGAGGACGTCTCAGCCAAGGGGGTGGCGTACCGTCGGGCCAAGTCCTGGCTCGAGCGCTGCTCTCTCAAGGTCTTGGAGGGTGAGGCCTGGCTGCAAGAGGCGCGTGATGCTGAAGACCTTGCGGTCGCGGCTGCTGTCAAGGCCAAGCGCTCGTGGGAGGAGGCCTTTGCGAACCCGAGTGCCCGCGCAGGGGCGCGCGGCTTATGCTTCCGCTCCCCGTGGCCGCGGTGCGTCCCTGCCGCGGCGGCCTCGCGGCGCGCTGGGTGCCGTGGCGCTCAGAGGAGGGAAAGGTACCCCATGCGGAAGAGGGAAACGATCACCGAACACTCCCCCTCCTCCCAAAACTCAATGTTGGCACGCGCGGGGGAGACTGCAGTCGAAGTGCACGTCATCAGACACACCGCCAACTTTGAACATTAGGGGGAGAGGGAGGCGTTGACAGATGAATGTGGCATGAGTGTTCGCTAATTTGTTCCGAGGCCTGTACCGCTACGCTCCCCTCGCTTTCCCCTTTTTGGGCCTCCTGGGCGGCCCTCGTCGCCACCGCCGGGTTCGCCTCGAAGTTCTGGTCGGCGCGCACCCCGGGTGGAGGTCCGGAGAGTAGCGGTATCGGTACCTTTTGGTTTCCCCAGGCGCGTCGAAGTCCTTGGTGTCTGGTACGGGGGGTGGGTGGACAGCCAGCTCCCGCCTGCGGGCAGCAGGTTGCGGAAAAAGCCGGGCCACGATCCCCCTCGCCTCTCCCGTCCTCTCGCCCTCACCGTTCCGTATATGTCTCTCCACCTCCGCTGCGCCCTCGGCATTCTGCGCTCTCTCCCTCCACCCGCCCCTTCCTCTGCTTACCTCCCCTTCCTCTTGCTCTTCTTTTTTTGAGTGATGATCGCCAGCGGGCATGGGGTGAGGAGGGGATGGAGGCAAGCGAACGCGATAGTGAGGTGGAACATCGCCAAGTGCTCCGCAGTAAGCACCTCATCATCGTAGACATCCGCCGTCTCCCGCTTTAGGTCATGAGGTTGGTATCCCCATTCATCGAAAGGCACTACAAGCTGGTTGGCAAAGGGAACCACCCGTGCCCTAAGTGACAGCCGTGACTCCTCCTCTTCTTCTTCTTCTTCTTCAGGATTGCACTGTGAGCTCCTCACAGTAGGCACGGAGACCGGAGCACATCAAACCTATGGCTGCTTCGAACCTGAGGCTTCCTCCTCGTCTGGCCATGCCGTGTCGCGTGGCGGGGCTCCTCCTGACAGAGAGTCTTACAAGCCCCCTTGGCCCTGGGATCGCACTGCTCTGCCCGTTTCTGGGCCTCCACGGGGCCCGAACCCCTGGAGCGTGCCCCGCTGCTCCCACCGGGCCTCGCACCAGAGCGCACCTCCTCCTGTGCGCATTGCTGCGATGGGGGTGGGTGTAAGCTGAGCGGCCTTCCGATGAGCTCTCCTCCCAACCACCCCAGCACGTCCCGCCCCGTCGGTGCCTCACCACCCACCAAACCACCCCAACCCAACCCGAAGGCTCAGATTTACCCTCGATTTCTAGTGGGGGGGGGTCCGGGAACATCGAACAAAAACACATATGGAGCCCAATCCCCCCCCTAACCCGAAATTCGGGTCTTCGGGTTGGGTTGGGGTGGTCTGGTAGGTAGTCAGTTCCGGCCCCCCCCCCCCTAACAGCCCTTGCAACCCCATCGGCCGCGCGAGTCCCGGGCCGCCTTTCTGGGCGGAAGCGGACACCGCGCCGGCGAGGTCCTGCAGCTCCCTGGTGCCTCCTCGCCCTCCCTTCCATTTGGCGGGCGGCGCGCGAGGAGGGGCCGTACATCTAGGCCTCCAAGGTGGGGTCCGCGCAGATGGGGTCGGAGGATTGTGCCGCATCGCCGATGCATCGCCGATGCGGCTCGATATGGAGCTCGACTTGCTCCAAGTCGACGGCGCCGATGCATCGCCGACGTCGCCGATGCATTGCCGGCGCATCGCCGATGCATCGCCAATGTATCGCCGATGCATCGCTGATGTATCGGCGATGCGGCGCGATCCTCCGACCCCATCTACTCCGACCTCATCTAGGAGGCCTCAAGTACAAGAGACTAGCAGCGGAGGCATCATGAGGAGCAGCAGCCAACAAGTGAGACTGCACACGCCAGACGAGGCTGTCCAACTCAACAACTGCCAACACAGCACGCCCTGGAAGCTGGCAAGCTGCCGCTGCCTCCTTGTCGGCCTCATCTGCCGCCCCGTTGGCAAGCCAATGCAACGGCGGCACAGTCTGGGTTATATACTGTCGCTGGGTTGGCGTGACATTTCACCTTCCTGATTCTGATGTGGTGATTTTCCGCGGCCTCCCAAAACTGTTTCCACGCAAACCTATTGATCCCTGGTCTAAACCTCGGGCCTTAAAGAAATTCTTGACCACATAGGCACTGTCCACAACTACCGTGATGGGGCCTAAAACCTGGAAGGGGCCCATGCCCCCACGGCTACTAGCCTGCCTCCACGCACAGCTGCGAAGCTCTCGGCAAAACATGTCAGGCGAGACTCAGCAGAATACATCCCCCTCCTCGAGGCAGACGGCTCCATCCGCGAGCGATGCTGAGTACACAGGTCTGGCGTCAACAATCGTGTCAACATGTTGCGTGACCCAAGGTGTCGGCGGAAGACCTCGCGGCTAGAAGATCGGGGCATCCTCTACACCCCCACGCGCCTGCTCGACTAGGTCCAACTGGGCGCCTGGAACTTCTGAGTTCTTAGGGCACTCCCAAAACTGGCGAAACAGGGCCCCTTCTAGTGCACCACAACGAGGGCATGCATGGGGACTTGCCAGGAAGGCCCGCAGGCCCTGGGATTCCTTGGTCAGGGTCAGGTTGCGGCTTCTCGCAGAGGTGACACATATCCTCTTCCTGGGCGGTGAGATCCACCATCTCTCCGAAATCCCCCAGGGAAGGATGAGCAGGGGCCGCAGCTGCAACAGCAGGCTCAGCAGCGGAGGCCCTCGGAGTTGTTAGCAACTCTGCTGATGATCTCGCCTGCTGCTCCTCCTCCGCCTCCTTCTCCTCCTCCTCCTCCTCCTCCTCCTCCTCCTCCTCCTCCTCCTCCCTCTCCCCCTCCCCTGTCCCTCCATGTTGGTGCAGGCTTCTTCTCAGTGGTAGCCCTCAGCACAATTTTCCACAAACGCTTGCGATTTGACACTTGCACGTCGTTCGCTGAAAGTGGGTATTTTTGGATTCCCAGATCCCGATCTACCTCGAGCGCATCTGCATTTGCGGCGTTTTGTTATCCTCTGGAGGGCCTGGACCAAATCTGCTTTACCCGCCTTCCTACTCCATGTTTTTACCTACTTCTTCCGACCGACGTGTATTCCACGCGTATGAGCATTCTTGATTCTGGCGGTCACGTGCCAGTGCTCCTTTGACAGCGCATGGTGAGGGCTGTCCGAATCAGGTGAAGCGTGAGGGCGATGAAGTTGTCAACATGGCTCAGCCTGCTCTTACAATTTTAGGCGGCCTCTGGTTAGCTCACGCCGGCGAGCGCCGCGAAGCAGCAGATGAGCGACAGTGCAAGCGCCACGAGAGGCCTGCGAGGAGGGGGCCGTCCAGTTCTTCCGCATTTGGAGCGGTCTCCGGTCAGCTCACGTCGGCGAGCGCCGCGAAGCAGCATGTGAGCGACGCTGTAATTGCCACGAGTTGCCTGCGAGGTGGGGGCCGTGAGCACGCGGGAACACCGTCTGGCTCCACAAATGACTACGACCGAGCGATCGCTGTTGGCCAGCGTGGGTGTCTTAGTCCCGACCTCGTCACCGAAGCCTTCCCTGGAGGGGCCATCTCATTCATTGCGAAGCTCCGCCTGAAGGGCTCGGATACGACGCGGCATTTAGTGACGTGCTTCATGCCCCAGAGAATTGTACGCTTCGAGGCGCCCAGTGGGCCACACCAGAGATTGCCCCTGCGGCGCGATGTGCTTGTGCAGACTTAGTGCGGCGGCGCCCAACCATGCCAATACAGTGCCGTTTTTAATACATGCCCCGCGTGTGGATCATGTATTAAACATGCAGGGACTTAGTATTAAAAACAACGATGAGTTCATGCATGAACTTATTCATTAAATGGATCGTGTATTAACAATCAGATATGGTTAACACTCCTGTGTATGAAAAGCTGCCCTGGTACTTAGTGTACCCATTTTGGCCCAAGCCTTTTCAGCCTCTGCTTCCGAAACGGCTGGGCGGCTTGCCACGGCCCGCGGCCCGTCCCCGGCGCACTCCAGCGCAGGCTGCGCTCTGCCGCCCCGCGCCCTCCCGCGGTGGCGGCAGCGTGGGGCGCCGCCAGGGAGGCCGACGAGGAGCGCACGGGGTGTTGAAAGCCGCATGCCCGACGCTCGGTGGTGGCGCCCAGCCGAGTGGCAAGGCGGAGGAGAGCACCACTGCGACCGCGAGCTCCAGCACAACTCGAACTTCAGCGACGCAAAGTTCCTCGTCGAGGATTTCGAGCACCACCGCTGCCAGAACATCGACGACGGTAAGTTCGGAGCCGCAGGGTGTTGTGGCGTTGCCGCGTCCCACCAGGCATCCCACGAGAGCCAGAACGTGGAGTACTGGTCGGTAACCCTACAGAACTGGCTTCCAGCCAAAATCGTCGATTCCAGGGGGATTTACTTAGCACAACTCGAACTTGAACGACGCAAAGTTCCTCGTCGAGGATTTCGAGCTCCACCGCTACCAAAACATCGACGACGGTAAATTCGAAGCCGCAGGGTGTTGCGGCGTTGCCGCGTCCCACCAGGCGTTCCACGAGAACCAGAACGTGGAGTACTGGTCGGTAACCCTACAGAACTTGCTTCCAGCCAAAATCGTCGATTCCAGGGGGATTTACTTAGCACAACTCGAACTTCAACGACGCAAAGTTCCTCGTCGAGGATTTCGAGCACCACCGCTACCAAAACATCGACGACGGTAAGTTCGAAGCCGCAGGGTGTTGCGGCGTTGCCGCGTCCCACCAGGCGTCCCACAAGAACCAGAACGTGGAGTACTGGTCAGTAACCCTACAGAACTGGCTTCCAGCCAAAATCGTCGATTCCAGGGGGACTTACTTCGACCGAGATCTAAGGTTCAACGCTCTGAACTACGATGTGTATGTGCGGTCGGTCGGGGAGTTACTGCGCGGCGTTGCGATGGAAACGTTGCGCTTACCGATCGTTGAAGGTGAATCGGTGAGCGTGTTTTCGCGTAAGCACGGTAAGTCTTTGATCCGCAAGGCGATCCGCCTTGATGCCGATCCGATGAACGGGTACGACATCGAGCTGGAGGACGAACTCGCCGACGATGGGGAGACATACATCACGTCTGAGCTGCAGAAGGATCTGGAGATCAAAAAAAGAGCAAGCAATTTGGTGCTTCGGTGCAGCGCAGGAACGTCGGCACGAAGAAGGAGGGCGAAGCATCTGGCAGAAGCTCGGTGAGGCCGCCTAAAGTCCTGGCCCCGACGAGCATGCCGGAGCAGGGCGTAGCAGAGTGCAGGCTGATCAAGAGCATGCCAGCCAAGCAGGTGAGGAAGCGCTACACAAGAGAGGAGATGCTGTCCGCATGTCCCCATGGGCATCGACGTGGGTTTTGCCGACGCCGAGGTCTTTCGAGAAGGGCCGGCAGACGGCAGGAGCCCGAGACCGAGCCCCCGCAGGGGCAAAGACGACGGCAGCCGGGGGGATCGCCAGGAGGTCCCCCGGCCGCGGTGCGCGGCGGCCAGGGAAGCGCCGTCACTTTCTCGCCGCAGTCGCCGAGAGCACGGGCGTTGCACAGCCGCCACCCAGGAGTCCGGTCGACAGCTTCGCGGGCTCTCCGTGCGAGGGTCGCGGGGCGGGCGTGGGCACCGTGCCCGAGGACTTGGAGATGGCAATTTGCGGATCGGATGCAGCGCCCGAGGTATCCCACCGGGTCGCGTTCGGTTGTCTCTGGAGTCCCCGGCTGCCGCCTCCATCCTCTGCGTCCGAAGGCCGATCCGCCGACGTCTGTGAGGACGGCTCTGGCGTCGGCCGGTGCATCTTTCCATGAGACCCTCGGGATTTTCGTTTAGGACTTGAAGGACGACTTCCGGCATTCGGCAATTCGAGCATCCGTTGCGTTGCACAAGTCGTTCTAAAGTTGACTGAGTTTCACACGTTTCACATGTCATACTGTATTCCGACGTACTGCCGGCGACCTGATCAGGGGATCGTTTTTGAGGAAAAAAGGCGATTTCCAGTTCAGCCCTCGCATGGTCAGCCCTCGAGCGCCGCAGACCAGACCAATTCAATTTATCCTGCTCGGTACCGAGTCTGACGATGGGGGAGGAGGAGAGGAGGAGGAGGAGGAGGAGGAGGAGGAGGAGGAGGAGGAGGAGGAGGGGAGGAGGAGGAGGAGGAGGAGGAGGAGGAGGAGGAGGAGGAGGAGGAGAGGAGAGGAGAGGAGGAGGAGGAGGAGGAGGAGGAGGAGGAGGAGGAGAGGAGGAGGAGGAGGAGGAGGAGGAGGAGGAGGATGGAGGAGGAGGAGGAGGAGGAGGAGGAGGAGGAGGAGGAGGAGGAGGAGGAGGAGGAGGAGGGGAGGAGGGGGAGGAGGAGGAGGGAGGAGGAGGAGGAGGAGGAGGAGGAGGAGGAGGAGGAGGAGGAGGAGGAGGAGGAGGAGGAGGAGAGGAGGAGGAGGAGGAGGAGGAGGAGGAGGAGGAGGAGGAGGAGGGGAGGGAGGAGGAGGAGGAGGAGGAGGAGGAGGAGGAGGAGGAGGAGCAGGGAGGAGGAGGAGGAAGAGGAGGAGGAGGAGGGGAGGAGGAGGAGGATGAGGAGGAGGAGGAGGAGGAGGAGGAGAGGAGGAGGAGGAGGAGGAGGAGGAGGAGGAGGAGGAGAGGAGGAGGAGGGGGAGGAGGAGTAGGAGGAGGAGGAAGGAGGAGGAGGAGAGGAGGAGGAGGAGGAGGAGGAGGGGGAGGAGGAGGAGGAGAGGAGGAGGGAGGAGGAGGAGAGAGGAGGAGGAGGAGGAGGAGGAGGTGGGGGGAGGAGGAGGCGGAGGAAGAGGAGGAGGAGGAGGAGGGGAGGAGGAGAGGAGGAGGAGGGGAGGAGGGAGGAGGAGGAGGAGGAGGGGAGGAGGAGGAGGAGGAGGAGGGGGAGGGGGAGGGGGAGGGGGAGGGGAGGGGTGAGGAGGAGGGGGAGGGGGAGGGGAGGGGAGGGGGAGAGGGGAGGGGAGAGGGGGAGGGGAAGGGGAGGGGGAGGGGAGGCGGAGGAGAGGAGGAGGAGGAGGAGGAGGAGGAGGAGGAGGTGGAGGAGGAGGAGGAGGAGGAGTCGGAGGAGTCGGAGGAGTCGGAGGAGGAGGAGGAGGAGGAGGAGGAGGAGGCGGAGGAGGAGGAGGAGGAGGAGGAGGGAGGAGGAGGGAGGACCAGTGCAAACACAAGAGTCATCAACGATGTTGGGATTAAGCCTCCCTCCAAGCTCCCACTTCAAAGGCCCCCACAACGGTTCATTTCCATTGAGGGAAATGCTTCGTTGGAAGACAACCGTTAAGATCCTGAAGCGTGCCAAAACATTGTTGTTTGGCTTTCAACGCCGCTTATCAACCTGACTGCTGCGTCTTGACGATCCAGAACCGTGCCAGGGCGCTATTTTGGGGACTTCAAACACCGCGAATCAACATAACTGTTGCGCCCGCAAAATCTTGAATCCTTCCAGAACACCATTTCTGGTGCGTTGATCATGGGATTCCGTGAAACTCTTGCAAACTGTTGAAACGAATGTACGCGGCGCTCAGGCGAGAGCCACATTTTGAAACGGAGCCACCCTCAATCCGTGAAGCTCTTGCATCTTTTTAAATCGAATGTACGCGGCGCTCAGGTGAGAGCCACATTTTGAACACGACCCGCCCTCAATCCGTAAAGCACTGGCAAATTTGTTGAAACGAATGTGCGGGGCGCTCAGGCGAGGGGCACATTTTGAAAACAACCCGCCTCAATCCGTGAAGCTCTTGCAATATGTTAATATGGCGAGAGCCGCATTCTGTAAGCCACCCGCCCTCAATCCGTGAAGCTCTTGCAATTTGTAAAACGAATGTGCGCGGCGCCAAGGCGAGAGCCACATGTTGAAAACCACCCGCCCTCAATCCGTGAAGTTCTTGTGCGCGGCGCTAGGGCGAGAGCCACATTTTGAAAACCACCCGCCCTCAATCCGTGAAGCTCTGGCAAGTGTTTAGAAGGAGTGTTCGCGGCGCCAGGGCGAGAGTCACATTTTGAACACCACCCGCCCTCAATCCGTGAAACTGTTGTCACGTTTTAAGCTTCAGGGTCATACGTGGTGAGGAAGTCTCATGTGAAACGCTTGGCCCCTCTCTTCTCTTCCTCCCGCGCTTGCCTCCCGGAGGCGAAGCTCCAGCTAACCCCTCTGGGGTGGGCCGGCTCTTCGCCTCCTCTTCCTGTCTCCTCCTCGCTCCCCCCGCGCACGTCATGAAGCTGGGCAGTGTGCTCCAGAGGCCAGTTCTCTGGTGCTCTCTGCGCCATTTTGGCCTCCTCCCTCCCTCCTCCGCCTCCGTATCCTGGGCCCGGCGCTTGTTTAGGGTAGCTTCGGGGTGAAGCGCGGCTGCCATGTATAGAGTGATGGTCGTGAGGTGTACCTGCGGGAGCCTCCCATCGCTTAATATATTATCTAGCGGAGGGATTGCCATCTCTGGCCCCCCCTCTGCTGTCCCCCCTCTACGCGCGGTGTTTTTGGCCTCTCGGCTGCACCGTGGCGTGTCCGTCCGCCTGTCCTCCTCCCTTCTCCTTCCCCGAATTCGTGGCTTGTCTGCCACGGTCTGCACGGGCAAGGCGCGCATGCGGCCTTGCGGCCGTTGCCGGCCGACCTCGGGCTGTCTCATGGGCTTGGGCTCGCCGTCCAGCCGCTGCGATGTTGCTACGCGCCCAGCCGGGCACCGCTGTGCCCAATTCAACTTCTTATGAACGCAGTTGGAGAGTGCGTGCACCCAACTTTCAGGTTTCCGCTTCGTTGATCTTTTCTTGTTCGGAGGCTGTTGCTGCCTAGTCGGAGTGGGGTGACTCTGATAAATCAGCTCGCCGATCCTCTCCTCTTCCTCCATCCTTTCCTCCTCTTCCCCCTCCTTCCCGCGCCCAGGGTTATTGCAGGTTTTTGTTCTCTTCGCCCCGCGATCGACTTCGATCGGCGGTATTTCGGCCACGCTCGCAGGACAGCCTGCTGTGCAGGCCTGCTGCGAGGCCTCGGCGATGTCTCTGCATTCGCCTGGTGCTTCGTCTCCCCTGTCCGTGGTACGGGATAGCCCCCCTCAGGGGCAGCGGATTCTCCCTCCTGCCTTGCTTTGCTGCTGGGAAAAAAAACAAATAAATACATTAAGACTGGCCTCGGAGTGTGAGAGGGAGAAGTTTTCGATAAGGGAAAAGAGTGGAGGAGAAGGACGAGGAGGACCAGCGGAAACTTACGAGTCATCAGCGATGTTGGAATTAACCTTCCCTCGAAGCTCCCTCTCCATGGGCCCCATACAACGGTTCATTTTCAATTGAGGGAGCTGCCTCGTTGGAAGACAACAGTTTGAAGATCCTGAAGCGTGCCCAAGCATTGTTCTCGGGATTTCAACTCCGCGTGTCAACCTGACTGCTGCGTCTTGACGATTCAGAATCGTGTCAACACGCCATTTGTGGGACTTCAGCACAGCGAATCAACATACCTGTTGCGCCCGCATAGTCCTGAATCCTTCTAAAACACAATTTCCGGTGCGTTGATCATGGGATTCCGTGAAACCTTAGCAAATTTTGAAACGAATGTACGCGGCGCTCATGCGAGACCCGCAGTTCATCCGATTTCTATCCGTGAAGCCCTGGCATTTGTTTATAAAAAAGAACGAATGTGCGCGGCGCTAAGGCGAGAGGCACATTTTGAAAACCACCCTCGCTCAATCCGTGAAGTTTTGGCATTTTTTGAGACGAGTGTGTGCGGCGCTAACGTGAAAACCACATTTTGAAAACCACCCGCCCTCAATCCGTGAAGCTCTTGCACCCTTTTAAAACGAATGTGCGCGGCGCCAAGGCGAGAGCCACATGTTGAAAACGACCCGCCTTCCATTTGTAAAACTGGGGTCACTTTTAAGGCTCAGAATCATAAATGGTGAGGAAGTCTTAGGCGAAACGCCCAGCCCTCCTAAAAAACTGGCATCGGGAAACGACAGGGAGGAGTTATCCGTAAGGAGAAGGACTGGCGGAGGAGGAGGAGGAGCAGGAGGAGGAGGAGGAAGAGGAGGAAGAGGAGGAGGAGGAGGACCAGTGTAACACCAAGAGTCATCAACGATGTTGGAATTAACCTTCCCTCCAAGCTCCCACTTCATAGGCCCCCACAACGGATCATTTTCATTGAGGGAACTGCCTCGTTGGAAGGCAACCGTCTGAAGATCCTGAAGCGTGCGAACACATTTTTCTCGGGATTTCAGCGCCGCGTATCAACCTGTCTGCTGCGTCTCGACGATCCGGAATCGTGCCAGAGTGGCGTTTTTTGGATTTCAACACAGCGAATCAACATAATTGTCATAGGCGGC